CCGCCCCTCGCCACTCCCCTCCCCCTCGCCTCCTTCCACAAGCCAAGTGTCGTCCCCTTTCCTACGCCCCCTTTCTTTGGTAGGGGTTGATGAGGGGTAAGTGGAGAGGCACAGGTGAAGGGAAAGGTTTATAAATGGTAACTATTGTTTAAGTTGTGATAGTAGGCGGGTTGTCCGCCTTGCTGATCCGTGTGTGTGTAATTACCTAAGTGTAGTTACAGGATGAGAGCTACGCTCGTGGTGTCCCGTGTTCCCAGCATTCTTTGTCATATAACGCTTTGAAATTATGTACTGACAGTTTTGGCCTCCACCACCTTCTCACCTAACTTGTTCCAACCGTCTACCACTCTGTTTACAAGAGTGAATGTTCTTATATTTCTCGGCAGCTTTGTTTCATTAGTTTAAATCTATGACCTCTTGTTCTTGAAGTTCCGGGTCTCGGGAATTCTTCCCTATCAATTTTATAAATTCCTGTTACTATTTTGTACGTAGTGATCATATCCCCTCTTTTTTCTTCTGTCTTCTAGTTTTTGCATATTTAATGCCTCTAACCTCTCCTCGTAGTTCTTGCTTTTCAGTTCTGGGAGCCACTTAGTAGCATGTCTTTGCACCTTTTCTAATTTGTTGATGTGCTTCTTAAGATATGGGCAGCCTACCTTGAGGCTACCTTGAGGTGCTTCCGGGGCTTAGTGTCCCCGCGGCCCGGTCGTCGACCAGGCCTCCTGGTTGCTGGACTGATCAACCAGGCTGTTAATCAGTCCAGCAACCAGGAGGCCTGGTCGACGACCGGGTCGCGGGGACACTAAGCCCCGGAAGCACCTCAAGGTAGCCTCAAGGTAGGCTGCCCATATCTTAAGAAGCACATCAACAAATTAGAAAAGGGCACCACACGACCGCTGCATATTCTGGCTTCGGCCTAACAAAAGGTGTGAACAATTTCTTTAGTATTTTGCCATCCATGTACAGTATTTAAAAGCAATTCTGAAGTTAGAAAGTGTAGCATAGGCTCCTCGCACAATGTTCTTAATGTGGGTCCTCAGGTGACAGTTTTCTATCTAGAACCACCCTTAGATCCCTTTCTTTGTCAGAATTCTTTAAAGATTTCTCACATAATTTATAGATTGGCTTATGCTCCTGTGATGCCATGCAAGAAGTTTGAGGTATATTTACATAGGAATAAGGTTGATGTATATACTGACCATAATTCTTTCATATTTATTGACAATGAAAATCCATAATAAAAAAAATCAAATAAAATGGAATATTTTTTTTGCTAGCCTTTCACTCCCCCTAGAACATTGATATTTGGCCAGGCAGTGTGTTCCAGTGATGCTGAAGGTTACTCCCTCTCATAACTTTAAAGTGGGGGTCTTGTCTGTGTCCATAACATTTTAAATTTTAAATTTAAATTAATTTTTAAATTAAGCTAATGTGTGTGTGTGTGTGTGTACTTACCTAATTGTGCTTGTGGGGGTTGAGCTTTGTCTCTTTGGTCCCGCCTCTCAACTGTCAATCGACTGGTGTACAGATTCCTGAGCCTACTGGGCTTTATCATATCTACATTTGAAACTGTGTATGGAGTCAGCCTCCACCACATCACTGCCTAGTGCATTCCATTTACTAACTACAGTACTCTGACACTGAAAAAATTCTTTCTAACGTCTCTGTGGCTCATCTGGGTACCAAGTTTCCACCTGTGTCCCCTTGTTCGTGTCCCACCCGTGCTGAAGAGTTTGTCTTTGTCCACCCTGTCAATTCCCCTGAGAATTTTGTAGGTGGTTATCATGTCTCCCCTTACTCTTTTTTGTTTTCCAGGGACGTGAGGTTCAGCTCCTTTAGCCTTTCCTCGTAGCTCATACCTCTCAGTTCCGGGACGAGCCTGGTGGCATACCGCTGAATCTTCTCTAACTTTGTCTTGTGTTTAACTAGGTATGAACTCCAGGCTGGAGCTGCATATTCCAGGATTGGTCTGACATTAGTGGTATACAGGGTCCTGGACGATTCCTTACACAAGTTTCTAAAGGCAGTTCTTATGTTGGTCAGTCTAGCATATGCCGCTGAAGATATCCTTTTGATGTGGGCCTCTGGGGACAGGTTCGGTGTGATATCAACCCCCCAGATCTTTCTCTTTGACTCTTGCAGGATTTCACCTCCCAGATGGTACCTTGTGTTCAGCCTCCTGCTCCCTTCGCCTAATTTCATTACCTTACACTTTCCTGAGTTGAACTTTAGCAGCCATTTTCTAGACAATTCCTCTAGTTTGTCCCAGGTCATCCTGTAGTCTGTCTATCTTCATCCATCTTGATTCTTCTCATAATTTTTGCATCATCAGCAAACATTGAGAGGAAAAAGTTTATACCCTCCAGAAGATCGTTTACATATATTAGAAACAAGATGGGTCCAAGTACTGAGCCCTGTGGGACTCCGCTGGTGACATCTCGCCACTCTGATGTCCCCCCCCCCCCTCATTGTTACTCGCTGTTTCCTGTTCCTTAAGTACTCCCTTATCCACTGGAGCACCTTCCCTTTTACTCCTGCCTGTTGCTCCAACTTTTTTAACAGCCTTTTATGGGGTACTGTGTCAAAGGCTTTCTGGCAATCCAGGAAAATGCAGTCGGCCCACCCTTCTCTTTCCTGCCTAATTTTTGTTGCCTGGTCATAGAATTCTATTAAACCCGTGAGGCACGATTTACCATCTCTGAACCCATTTTGATGGTGTGTTTCAAAGTTATCTCCCTTCAGATGCTCTACGAGCCTTTTCCTCACGATCTTCTTCATCACCTTGCATGGTATACAAGTTAGGGAAACTGGCCTGTAGTTCAGTGCCTCTTGCCTGTCACCCTTCTTGTATATTGGAACTACGTTAGCTGTCTGTGTGTGTGTATGTGTGTTAGCACTTAAGCTAAGCTTGCTCTCTTGGGGAGCTGTGAGTGTATATGAGGTTCTTCACATTTACCTACCTAGTTGTACTCACCTAGTTGTGCTTGCTTGGGTTGAACTTTGGCTCTTTGATCCTGCCTCTTGACTGTCAATCAACTGGTGTATATACTCTTGAGGCTATTGGGCTCTGTTACCTTGAGGTTACCTTGAGGTGCTTCCGGGGCTTAGCGTCCCCGTGGCCCGGTCGTCGTCCAGGCCTCCTGGTTGCCGGACTGATCAACCAGGCTGTTGGACGCGGCTGCTCGCAGCCTGACGTATGAGTCACAGCCTGGTTGATCAGGTATCCTTTGTTAGATCTACATTTAAAACTGTGTATGGAGTCTGCCTCCACCACATCTCTACCTAATGCATTCCATTTGTGAACTACTTTGATACTGAAAAAATTCTTTCTAATGTCTCTGTGGCTAAGAGACAAGAGTAATTTGGGTACTAAGTTTTACCTATGTCCCTGTATTTCATCATACATGATTGATGATTGAGGAAGATTAAGCCACCCAAGAGGTGGCATAAGCATGAATAGCCCATAAAACATGTAATTGTTTTAGATCCAGCTACCCCCTTCAGTTTCTCGGAACAAAAGCTCCAAGCACGGGCTATGGTGAGCTCGTAGTGGACTTATCTGGCACAGGAGTGAGGCTGTATGTGTCCCAGCCCCATAAAGCATATACTGTATATGAATGTCTATGTATATTGTGTAGCCCCACTTACCCCCCCTCACCCCACTGCCTTCCCCCCCCCCACCCTCCACTGTTACCACCGCTTCCCCCTAACCGCCTCCCACTGTCACTTTCCCCACCCCCTGCTGATGGTACTCAGCAAGTAGGTACTCAGGAGTTAGCTTGTTGTGGGGTTGCATCCTGGGAGGGGTCAGTAATTTGACTCTGGGGGTGTTAGACCTCGATAAAAGCCTAATGTGTATGAATACACTCTGGCTTCTGTCCCTCGACACTGTGAATTATTATTAGTATACAATATCGAAAAAAAAGAATTTAATATAGTGCTCGGAGATATCTGGCAAGCTTTTGACAGCGTCTGGCACTTAGTACTAAAATATAAGATATCTGGACTATGGCTTCCATAGAGATTCACTACCACACACTGCAGCTTTATTTATAGCCAACAGAATAGTTGAACTCAGTATCGGTAGCTACTTGGGTAAATTAGGAATTGAGAATGGTATTGAGGCCTTACAAAGATCTACATGATCCCCACAAATAGTCAGAAACTAGCAAATACTTTTTAATACTGGTACTGAAAACCTTGCATGTGGGGCATAACAATCAAAGCCACAACTACAGCACCAAATTAACAACATTATCTTACACCAGATTGATGAAGAGTTGGATCTTGGAATCAGAACCCATCATTCACTGAAAGTTTCACAAGTGGGAGCTGCAGTAAAAAATCCTAGGAAAGATATTGAACTGTATAAATCTGATGCACCTTCACTTGGACTATTGTATACAAGCATGGAGATCTTATCTTCAGAAAGACAAATCTGCTTTAGAGAAATTTCAACACCGGGCAACAAAAATCATTCTAGAATTAAGTACTCTCATACCAGGAAAGGTTGAAAGACACAGGGCTAACACTACAAACCAGACATGACAGGGTTGATCTCATTGAAACTTTAAAATTCTGAACATTTTGGTGGATACTGATCCAGATCACTGTTAAAAAAAAAAAGTCAGCTGTAACACATACAAGGACCAACAACTTCAAGATTAATTAACAAGCCATAATTTAGAACAGGAAACCGGAGATGCTTTTTCACCCCATAGGGTTATAAACTCGTGGAACAGACTACCCGCTGAAGTCATAAATCCTAAAACATTGCTTCAATTCAAAATCCTGCTGGATAAAACCATCAGGACATATTGGGGAAACCTTTGATAAACCACCGGCTTCCTGTCCTCATCGAGGCCACTAGTAAAATGGTGGCTATCTGGTGAATTCAGGTAATTAAGGTTGGCAAGCTTCTATAAATGTGCTATGATTTGCCAATTGCCACACTAATGTACCTCTTTAATACCCTTGTACCTTCCCCTTGTATTTTACAGCCCCAGCTCCATCATCAGTCATGTCTGTCTTGGGGACAAAGTGCATTGACAAGAACTACAGGAAGGACAAGTGGTACTGGACCCGTGGCACAGGAAGTTGCAAGAGCATTAATGATTTTCGTGGCCCAGATAGTGAAGCGGATGGCATAACTGCCAACAACATGATCTTTACATTCCAGGTATGTTACTGAATCTTAGAACTAGTACTTTTTGTATAACTTCACCATTTACATTAACATATGAACCTGAAATATTAGGAGATGCATGTTAGGGATGTTTGATGTATCTATCAATTTTGTGCCTGGGTCTGTTGTTTTGCATGCTTAAATGTGAAAGACCAGCTTTAAATATTTATGGAACACCTGCTGAAAATATAATTATGGATATTTTGATCTTGTCTTTATTCAGCTGCCTTTACTAATACTCGACTAATAAAATCTTAGGCACCATCTCCCAAAGACAAGCGCCTCCTTGATTATTCCCGCTGGCAACAGAACCTGATAGCAATGATGCACCTGGACATCTTGTATGATGAGGAGGCTCAGTTTGGTGAGTATGGTTCTAATTTCTGCAGTTTACTCTGTTGAATTACAGATGCATTTTTTTATTAATACAGTAATTGTATGAAAGTATACATTTATTGAATATCACATTTGACAGATCCTCGAGCTATGATGACCATTGAGGCTCGTCTGGGATATCGTAATAAGAGGGACCCAGAAGATAAATGGACAGAATATGCATCGTCTACAGAAGAAAGGCGTCTTGATTGTTCCATAGACCCAATGCACAAAAAGGCTGAATACATGTATAACTGTTCTTCTGTGCCACTCTTTGAACTTGGGTCTTTGCACCACGATTATTATCTTTTAAATATTCGGTTGCCGATAAACACACTAGAGGAACGACGAGAAAGCAATATTAATGAAGATCTTGGACTTTTAGTGGATATGTGGGTGGCAGTGAGTTATCTTTAGGTTTATTTGTCTTGTATATATATACTTAGAAGTATGGTTTTTACCAAGTTATATGAAGGTATTAGAAACTTATTTGAGCGGTCCCCCTCTGAGGGCATCTGGGTGCTAGGAGCCTGGTTAGCTCTACATGTATAAAGTTACACAAAGTCCTTTCGAGTCAGAATTTCACTTGCCACAGACCAAAACCTAGACCCCTCAAATGGGTGGGGGGGATACAAGATCATCCAAACCAATAGGAAAAGCCACCAGAAAGATAGCTAACCAAATCAGACAACAGCAAAAAGAATTATTTTAAACTTGTCAACAAGGAACACAGTACAGCAGTTAGGTCATTACCCCACAAGTTACATAACCCTGCCTCCATATCTCGGCCCCAGGAGCTCGGGGCCTGCCCGGGGTCAACTGATCAGTCATGCGCCTGGTGTAGACCTGTCTACTACTGTTCATAATGTCCTGCATTTATTGAGCTCCCAGTTTTTATTTTAAGATAAGTGTTGGATATCCTTTAGACAGTGTCCTGCAGGAATTTGTGCTTGTTTTTGTTCCTTCTTGGTGTTTGCTTCATGCATGTCTCTCTTTTTCCACCTGCACTATTATATGGACCTTTAGTCTTTGTTGGCCTTGAGCTGCATGTATTTAGGGTTGCCTTCCCTAGGCGCTCACTGGCGTTGCCTTTGCCCAGCTAGGGTTGCTTCCCTTTGGTTTGAAACGATTGCTTCTGAGAGGCAATCCTCTGGAGGGGTCCTCCCCCTGGGTTGTTAAAGGGTCTTTGACTGTTTTGAGGTTTGAGCAGATGGTGGGGGAGTTCTTGTTTGGAAATATGCATGGTGTACATGTGCTTGGGTTGTGATACCCCACCTGCACCATCCATGGCTGCATTGCTTCCCAAGCTGGGTTAGATGTTTGCCAACAAGCATCCCCCATGCTTGGTGAACTAAATTCTTTTTGCTCTTGCTGGTCTGATGTGGTTTGGCTATGGAATTACCCAATGAACTTGTTCTTGCTGTTTATGGGTTTTCAGGCTGTTTGTGGTTTACTTTATTTGCAAAAGTGCAGGAGCCTGGACATTGTCTCTATGGTCTAGCTCTGGGCTTTGTGTTGGCTTATCCAGTTTGGTCTTCTTTGCGACCATTGGGTTTATTGGGTGTTACCTTGCTGGCCCTTCAGCAGCTTCTGGTTCGCCATTCTCAGACTTTTCTGGGATTTGTTCTCATGGTCCTTTCCCCACACCTGACCTACTTCCAGTTGCCTCAGCTCTGGTGTTGGGGTTTTGGACCCAGCAATCCTTTGACTTCTTTGGGTGGTTGGTTAGGTCATCTTCATTGAGCACACAATGCAGTTTGCAATTTCATTGCTGGTGTTTGTTCTGCGATTATCATCTTGCCCGTGCTCAGGCTGGCTTTCATTTGGTTTGTCTGCTTTGTAGGAGTTTGCTTCGGTGCCTTCCGCTGTGGTGCGGGGCTCTGTGCTGTTCCCACGTGGGTCGTGTCTGACATTCTTGCAGACTCTCTTGCATTTGTCCCTTTGCTTTGGGGTGGTCGATCATCGGTATGTTCTTCTGATTACTTTGCAAGGTATTCCCATGGCCATTTTCACATTGGGGTTGTTGGCTTCTTTTCTCTGTTGTCCCATTCCCAGACCACGAAGTTCATGCTGGTGTTGTCTTTTGGCTGGCTTGGAGTTGATGAGCTGTCCTTCTGGCTCATTTATTAGCTTGACTGATTTCCTCGGGCTAGTTGTTTCATGGCTTCACCTTTTCTCGGAATTCAGTCTGCAAATATTATTTGATAGTTTGAGGCTCTGCCGTTCTTTGTGTTTCGCCTTTGTGTCTGGTGTCCCACATATATCTGGTGTGCAAGTGTCAGTCTTTTTGGTGTTGTGTTTTGCTGCTTCTGGCTCAGGCTGGTTTCTGCTGCTCCTGAGCCTTTCTGGTTCTGGTGTATTTGTGACTTTTCCTCTTGCCTTCCCTTTTCTCTATTGCCTTTGGTTTGGGTAGGCATTTTTCTTTATTTCCAACTGGAGAAGCTTTGTTTGCTGTGTCTGGTTATAGTAATCCACTGCTTCTTATGTGCTCTTTGGGATGCTCTGGGAGATGTTTTTATTGGTTGGTTTGGTGTCCTTGATCTTGTGGTTGGGCTTGGTTGTCTCTGGTCGTCTGTAGTGTCATTTGTTGCTCTAGTCTGTGGCCTGTGTATGGGACCTGCGTGAGCTTCGGTGGGGGGTGTAACTAGCTGGGGTAATGACTTTATTACTGTGTTCCTTGTCACAGTGGTTAATATTTTCCTTGCTCTTGTGTGTTTTGGTTTGCTCTACTTTTCTGGTGCTTTTCCATTTGGTTTAGGTGACTAGTATTCCTGCTCTCTGTGCCTCTTTCAAGTTGTTCAGGTTTTGGCTTCTTGTCTATGGTAGGTGATATCCAGACTTACGATGGCCTAGTGTGACGAGTGTAGAGCTATCTAGGCGGCTAGCACCAGGGAGCCACCTAAGATCTCGCCAGAAAGAGGCATGTCCTTGCATTCAATGCTGGATATCTATTCTTGTTGTATTCTCCATCAGAATTCATTCATCCATAAAATCAGTATACAATACTGATTTCAGTTTCATTATTGTATTTAATGAAAGAAGAATCTTGGTCTTTAGAAACATTACTACAGTACTGTATATTGATCTCTATCCATGAAGCATGTCGTATTGCATGAAGCTTTTTATTATACTGATAGTGTGGTGTTTGTGTAGCTTGTATAACCTTTTAGGTATCATCTACTGTAGAATCATATACCCCTAGTACATCCTATGCATGAGCATAAATAATACTGCTACTGTATTCCCTTAACCTTTAGGCTGTAGGACTTGTAATAATGTCTTACAGCATGGCAGGCAGCATATTCAGTAGTACTGTACTGTACTCAGATTGATGCATTTCCTATGCTTTCAATGCTGTTCTGAAGCTCAAATAAGCTACTTAAAAAATATTATTTTTTTAGTACAAATAATTTGTAAAAGTATCAAATATTGAATTTTATTGTTAATAATTTTGTGAATTTAAAAGTAATAAAATTGTCTAATATTAAATATATTTGATTTATAATGCTGTAAATACTAATTATTACACAGGATTTAGTGTCATGGTAAATAAACACTCTTGGATGCATGTAGGTGGCGGTGGCAAAATTGACTTCTAAGTACAGTACTGTATGACTGAATGCAAAACACGACTTTGTCTTTTGCATAGTGTTTGCTGGCAAACACTATGCAAAGACAATCATTTACTATTTTTCAAATTTTGTATAACAAAAGCTTCACTTACATTTTTACAAGCCAAGGAGTTATTCAGTAAAGTATTGATCAAACAATCGTTTTTTATCGGCTGCCAATGCAACATTGAATTTTGTGTTTAGTCAATTTGTGTATTCATTATCCTTAATAAGTTTCCTCGGTTTAAAAATTACTTTCCATTTTGTTAATTCTTGCAACTTGCACAGATTCTGCCATGCTACATATATTTTTGTCATCCTCCACTTTTCTAATCAATTTCCCATTATGAATAAAATATTTACTGTAATTACCATACAGTACTTGGTTATAAATTCTACAAAGAACTTTTCTTTGGTGTTTATTTTGGATGTGTTTGTGTTTTGATCAAGCATAAAGTCTGACACTCCATTTAGAAACTTGTTAATCTTCTCTGGTTAAATTATTTTCCAATAAGAAGACAGCTTCTGTTTTCCACTGATGCTTGTTTGCTAGAGCTGTTCCCAGCTGACATTTTCTACTTCTTGATTCTTGCAGTTCATCCATCAGAATGGAGGGTTCACCAAAGTGTGGGTGTCTCTCAAGACTATATTCTTCCCAACCATCGTGGCCATCATGATCTGGTTTTGGCATCGCATCTCTCTGCTCTCCCGACCTCCAGCACTTCTAGAGTACATGCTTATGATGCTGGGTGCTGCCCTCACCTTGCTTAATTGTAAGTTCCATTTTTACCATAATACTCATTCTTTTCAAGAATATGGAAGTTGCCACTTAAATATAGGAGCTTTTGATTAAAAGTTAAGTTTCGGTAAAAATAAAAAAAAATCCCTCGTCAGATAGTTGTCGGATCACAGACTTGAATCTCGACCTCTCGATAGTTGAAGACTAGGCTTTATGATGAAAAGTAGAATGCACAATCACGCTCAAGCACAATCTTAATACAAGATTCGTTCCTGTGTATTGTTGTGGTTCAAAGAAAGAAATTTTGGCTCGGTTAGAGAGGGCTTCAGGGCTACGGTCTTTGCTCTGGCTGTTATATCTTGAGCAAGGATTTTCGTACCCAAATCTACTGAGGAATGCATCCAACTGAAGCTAATTGTAGTATGTTGCAGGAGAACCAGAGCATATTGCTGTATAAATAAATGTACCTTTGATATAAATGGTATTCTCAATGGTATTTGTCAAAATTCCCAAGTTTTATAAACATAGTTTACCTTTAATACAAATGCATTTTTTCTTGTAACTGTTGAACAAGGTAAAAGTAGTGTGTGAGGGGGGGGAGGGGAACCCTTGTCACTGTTTACACAACTGAGGTATTGTCAATAAAATTTAACTTAATATCTAAATGTATTTCATCATCAGGCCCACTAGAGTATGTGACACTTGCATTTGACTGTCCGTGGATGACTGTCGTGAGTGACATTCGACAGGGGATCTTCTATGCGTCACTGCTCTCCTTCTGGTTGATCTTTACTGGAGAACATCTTCTGGTTTGTATAGTTTATCTGGTTATCCTCCATTTTTCTAATCAATTTCCCATTACGAATAAAATATTTACTGTAATTACCATACTTTCTTCAGATTCTTGAGATTATCTTGAGATTATTTCGGGGCTTTTAGTGTCCCCGTGGCCCGGTCCTCGACCAGGCCTCCACCCCCAGGAAGCAGCCCGTGACACCTGACTAACTCCCAGGTACCAATTTACTGCTAGGTAACAGGGGCATTCATGGTGAAAGAAACTTTGCCCATTTGTTTCTGCCTCGTGCGGGAATCGAACCCGCGCCACAGAATTACGAGTCCTGCACGCTATCCACCAGGCTACGAGGCCCCTATACTTGGTTATAAATTCTACACAAAACTTAGATTTATGGAACTAATAAGTGTCGCTGATAACTAACTCTTAATAAATTTGATCAATAACAGTTTAATAAATGTAAATTTAAAATTGCTTTATATATATTGCTTATTCTATGCTGACTTTTTAAAAGTGGAATGTTAGAGGATATTAAGATACAATAATATTTCCTCAGTCAGATTAGAATGAGATATGGTAATTGACATGGAACTAGTCAGTGTTATAATAAGTTGTTAGGGGGTAATGTTGATGCATTTGTTAGGTATATCACATATAATAGACTTGGACTTACATGGGATTATTTCTGACCATACATTGTCTGAAGCTTTAATTTTTTTTTTTTATTTATTTTTTTTTTATTTTATTTTTTTTTTGCCATTTTCCTTTTATAATTTAAAGTTTGACTGGTGTGCTTGTTCTTGTATATATTTTAATGGATGCATTGTCATTACTCATCATTCATTGTGGTGGTAGCTGCACCAAGACCTTTACCCAACTTGTAGTATAACTGATATATATATATATATATATATATACATACATATATACATACTGTATATATATATATATATATATATATATATATATATATATATATATATATATATATATATATATATATATATATATATATATATATATATATATATATATATATATATATATATATATATATATATATATATATATATATATATATATATATATATATATTTATTATTTATTATATATTTTATTATATTATTTATATTATTTATTTATTTATTTATTTATAACTATTATATTATATTATAATTTATTATTTATAATTTATAATAATAATAATAATATTTATAATAATAATAATTTATAATTTATTATAATTATAATATTATATTATTATTATTATTATATTATATTATATATTATTATATTATTTATTATATATTTATTATATATTTATTATATATATATTATTATATATATTTATTATATATTTATTATATATATATATATATTATATTATATATATATATATATATATATTTATTTTATTATTTATTTATTTATTTTTATTTATTTATTATATATATATATATATATATATATATATATATATATATTATATTATATTATATTATATATATATATATATATATATATATATATATATATATATATATATATATATATATATATATATATATATATATATATATATATATATATATATATATATATATATATATATATATATATATATATATATATATATATATATATATATATATATATATATATATATATATATATTTATATAGTTTAATTTGTTAATTAATAAGCCCAATGATCATAGTCTGCAGGAATTGCATTCAAGAAACTATACATTGCAGGTCACCTAGAGCTTGTCCACTAATACTGTAGTGCATTCTTTGTTTTTTAATATATTGTAAATTCCTTAAATTAACCAGCTTTATATGCATATTTTCTCTTCCATACTGAATGATGATGCTCCAAACAGATTGCGGTAAGCAACGGTTCCTGTTGATGTTCATAATGCTTCCTATTGGCTTAGGTGTTTAACACTTTGCTGTGTGGAATTGTAATTTCTGGCAGTTATTCATGCATATGCTTTCACAAACTCTCATAGTGTAAGTGTTTCATCCTTTTCACTTAATGTTTGCATGCTGCACTGTACATTTGCTTTTCATAAAAACAAGATTATATGTGCAAAACTGCAGAGAATTATGAGGATGTAAATGTGAATATGGGTATACCAACATGTCTTGCATTTTTAGCGAGAATTTGGTATATGGTTTCGAAGCCAATAATTGCACTCTGTTTTTTTTCACCAATCTTCATTCTCCGTTCACAGGATGACATCGAGCGAAATAGAATTCGTGTTTACTGGCGTCATCTCAGTGCAGTGTTTGGGGGGTGCCTGTGCCTCTTCATCTTTGACATGTGCGAGCGAGGAGTACAACTCCGCAACCCATTCTACTCCATATGGGTGACTGAAGTGGGCACCAATCTGGCTCTGGCATTCATCATTCTTGCTGGCATTTGTGCTGGTCTTTACTTCTGTTTCCTCTCGTACATGATATGGAAGGTGAATAGTTTTTATCTCGTTAGAATCTTGAACATAGAATATTGCAATATAATGAGCAAAAACTTTGTTCTGTATTTTAAGAAATTATCAGGAGACCTATACCATTTGCTTAGATAACCTATTGACTTATTTCATTACTTTTATTCTCCAAGTAAATGTATAGTTGTCTGAAAATGTTAACTTTAACAAGCTTTTACTTAATTTTTTTTTTTTTGTTTTGGCTGTGGCACATTTCTAGGTGTTTATAAATATTAGTAGCAAACGTCAGTCACTCTCGGCCATGGCATCTGCCCGGCGCCTACACTATGAGGGCATCATCTACCGCTTCAAGGTGCTTATGTTGGCTACTCTACTATGTGCTGCCATGACTGTTATTGGCTTCATCTTAGGACAGGTATGATCACTATATTGGTTTGCCATGTCTGAATCTTCAGCCTTGTAGTTGGTGACTGAATAGCAATTACAGTACCTGATAACTTTATAATCATAGTTTGTGCAAAGTATGCATGTTGTTCCCTAATTCTATATAACGGAATGGGAGGGTTTTGGCCGTGAGCCCTGCCTCCTAGTTATTGATTACATATTTATGGTGTATAGGATAGAGCTCAAGTTCATAGTGTCTGTTTTCCTTTGCCATTTTGCTATGTTTACTATATTTGGTTTTCTATGTTTTTAGCAAGTACTTTCATGTTTTACAGTGTTCCAGCCATCCACAACTCTGAGAAAAGTACATTCTTCTATCCCTTCTGCATTTGTGTCTTAGACTAGTCTCTCATTTAGCACATTTAGCTGAAGTAAGAAAATCTACTTTTATCTTTTGATACCCATGATGTACTTAAAAGTAGTTACCATGTCTTCTCATTTCCGTCTAGATTCCAGACTGGTAATCTCTCAATTTTGTCTTCACCTCTATATAGTTCATATCAGTTGGTTCAGGTAACTATTTGGTAGCACCCTCTGCACACACTTATTTATAGATTTGTTTAGTGAATTATCCAGTACAGTACTTCATATTTCAATTTTGGTCTGATGAATGTTACAAACAAGATTTTCAGCTATTTTCAATTCATATAATTAAATACCAACATAAAATTAGCCAGCATAGGAACTTGATTTCACTAATTATTTAAACTCGGTACTACTGTAGTGTATGTACAATGGCACCTCACTTGCCTTATTGGGACTGGAGCTCTTCCATTGTACCAAGGATTGGTCCTCTTAGGTGTTGCACCAACTTTTGCTATTTGTTGCAAAGTGATTGTTTCTTCTGACACAAAGTAATAGAACACAATCCTGAGAATATATAAGCAAAATTATATATAAACTTTCCATTTTAAATATACTGGAAAATAAAATATTGTGTTGAATGAAATGTAATGCTCTTTTCTAGTGGGCCCCAGAAAGATCAGAGCTTCTCTCGGGTATTGCTAAACCTTGGCCCAACCTTCTGTTCCTCCGAGACCTTTCCATTGATAATCAAGAGCCAGTGCCAGAATATGCTCACTTTATAAATGGAGAGGAATAGGTAATTGGATATACAGTACTACAAAACTGAGGAAATCCAACCAGAAAGAGCTGGCACGACAAAACGAGCAACTGCTCAAAAGAAATTAGGCGTTCTGAGGTACACAAAAATTATAGTTAAAATATGTAAATACACAGGGAGCCGGCGGCTGAGTGGACAGAACACTGGACGCGTGGTCCTGTGGTCCCGGGTTTGATCCCAGGTGCCGGCGAGAAACAATGGGCAGAGTTTCTTTCACCCTGATGCTCCTGTTACCTAGCAGTAAATAGGTACCTGGGAGTTAGTCAGCTGTCATGGGCTGCTTCCTGGGGTGTAGGCCTGGTCGAGGACCGGGCCGCGGGGACACTAAGCCCCGAAATCATCTCAAGATAACCCTGACTGTGATGTGCCAGACCACCACTAGATGGTATCCCAGGTTATCTGAGATTTGTCAATCGACCATCATCCCCGTCAATCTGAAGTCACTTGTGCAAAATCACATAAGCCCATGGAGAAAATGGAAACAGGGCAGGGACGAAAGCTACTGGTGCCCGCCAGAAAGGTCATTTCATTACACGCGACGCTTGATTTTTGGAGATGCCTTTCAGTAACAACCAATGGCACCTCAGATGAGAAGGTTGACCTTTCTGAAAAATGGAAATGCCTGACTTGGCCTACCTGTTGGAGAACAGCAGAAGGTCAAGGACAAAGTACGGCAGCCTCGCATCAAATGTTAAAGTGCATCCAAATGCACCAAAAGTACTATTAGAATCCCTGAACCGAAAAAATCAGCAATGGACAAAATGTCATTGAAAACTGTCAAAGCAGCAAACATTGTTGCAGTTCCAGATTGGGGGCGAATGGCTGCTGGCTAGATCAAACCACCACATGGAGGACCTGGAAAAGGTAGGCCTTGGGGCAAGAGATAAGAGAAATTGGTGACAAGAGCTCTGACCCCCAACAGTGCGAGAAGCATGGAAAATTGCAGTCAGACTATAGAGCACAAAATGCTAGTGAGAGGGACTCTGCCTGAGCTAACCAAGATTAGGCCACATTATAGGTAGCAACTGGCGAATCAAGAAAAACCGGGAAAGGAAAGATAACACTAATGGCTTTTATTACTGTACTACATAATTTATATTTTACCTTCCCTAGGTCTCGGAGGGCCAATGGAGCTGGGATGAGAACATAAAACTGGAGTACACGAGTGCGTTTTTCACAGGAGTGTACGGCATGTGGAACATCTACACCTTCGCCCTTGTCTGCCTTTATGCCCCATCACACAAGCGATGGCCTAAGGATCAAAGTAAGAATAATGGAATAATTAGCTTCTTACCATTTTGGAATGCTATAGTATTCCAAAATGGCCTAATTTTTACCTTTTTATGTTTCTCATTTTATTTAGCTAGATCCTGAATTCTCCACTTATGCATCATGTACCTTTTCTTCTAAAAAAGGTTTTGTTTATTAATATTATACAAGTGTTTTTTATGCAGTATTTAGCCCAAGTTTGGTTATACTGTACTACATAGCTTGTTAATCCTAAAATGGAATGCTGTGCTGTTTATATTTTTTAATTTCACAGCAGTTTCATAAGACAGTTAACCACTTTTCTGTCGGAAGCCCCTTTGGCGGTGGCTCCCCACAGCCCCTGGAGCTATCGGGGCATTAGTCTATGCAGTTCAGCCTACTGGGGACCGTGAACCAGATCCTGGCCCACTCAGAGGTTTTAGGGAGCAATGGCCCTAGAAAACCCCCGTGTTTTGAGGTTTTCCTTGTCTGCCATCGACCCAGGGTTAGGCACCCAGAAAGGCAAGCATAACAAAACAAACCGCACATGGTAAGAAAATTACAACTAAAATCCGAAAAGAGAGGCAGAGCTCCCTCCAATCCCAAGGAAACAAACAAAAGTCCCACTCTGCTGTGCATCCCTTCCCCTCCCCACGCCGGCTACCTAGCACTCCATTTTGTTCGCTAATGTGGTCCGCAGCAGACGTCTTCTCTGGCCTCGATTTCCAAAGGTGGTGTTTTGCCTTCGTGGGGACCTCTGCAGTGTTGTGTGTGGTGGCCAGGTGTCCCCATCAGTACCGGGGCTGCATACTCTTAGGGGCCTCCTTCCCCTAGGCGCCCTGTTAGTAATGCCCTTGCGTGTTAGGGTTTCCTCCCCTGGTGCATTCAAGACGCCATTTCCGTAGGGGTTTTTGCTGCTTGGCATTTGCCCTGCCCTTGGGGCCAGTTGGGGTTTTGTGGCCCTTGTTTGGCCTTGGGTAGGGAGTAGTATCGTGCTGGTTAGGGCAACAAGGTGTCTTGCAGCCTGCCTACCTATGCGGCGGCCGGTTTCTGTTTCCTCCGGGAACATACGTTTGCAGGGTTTTTCTTTTGTTTTTTGCCTAGTGGGGGTCTGCCTGGTGTGGCTATAGTTCCACTTGAGATATTTTGGTGGCCCTCTGCTAGGCCCCCGTGATTATACACGTCACAGGGGTTTCAGTGTTTTGATCTGCCCCTTGTTAGCTTTGGGTCTTAAATGGTTAGCAACACATTGCTTGGGCCCTGGAAAACCCTGTCGGGGCTCGGTAGACCTGTGGCTGTATCTTGAGGTCCAGCTCGCCTCATGCGAGTTTGAAAGTTGCTATGTGCCCTTGTCTCAGGATGACAGCCACCATTTTTGCCTCGTGTCATGCTACCTGTTGGGTTACCGTCACCTTTGACCCGGAGTCTTGCGAGTTGCAGTCTCTGCATGTTCTCCAGATACCCATTTGTTAATGTTGATATGCGGGTGCAGGTGGTATCTGCGTTGCTTGCTAGGTTAGGTTGCTGCAATGCGTTAAGTTGGTTGCCCACCCGGATGCCCAGAGGCTGCCCCGTTTTAGTTAGGCATTGTTCGTCCTTCCACCCATCCCAACCCCTCCCTGTTCCCGGCTTCTTGCGACTGAGCGTTTCAGGGTTGAAGCGGGGTTTAGTTGGTATTGAGAGTCGGGCAGCTTCAGGGCTGCCACATTCGGGTTGCGGACAGAGGCATTTGAGCCTGCTCCTCCAGCTGAGGCTTCTGGATCCCACCAGCTGCCCCTTTCTTTGCTACCTTTCCCCTGGACTCTGCCTTTTCTTCATGGGTGGAGGGCATGGAGGATGGCTCTGCTCCTGGGTCTCTGTTGTGGGTTCCCAGGGCTGTGAGAAGAGCCCGCTAATAGTTCTGGGGCTGTTTGCCTCTGTGCCTTCTGAGCAGGTTTTTTTTTGTTCCTCTTGTCTGCCTTAAGTCCCACTTTTGCTGGTGTGATTTCAGCTCTTGCATCAGCCGCATCTCCTTTTGTTTTGGTGGTCATTTTCTTTTCTGCGGGTCACTTTCCCGCTTCAGTGGCGCTGCGGTTTGTCTGTTTAAATGTGCCTGGGAGTGTTTGCTCGCGCTTTGGGGTGTTTTTTTTGCCTTTGTTGGGAGTTTTAGCCTCTCGGTGCTGTTTCTCTGTTTTGTTCTTCTAGGTCGGTCTGCCCTTCTCCTGTTACTCTGGGAATGCTTAGATGTTGGGTTTTCTGTCTGTGTTTACGTCTGAGCCCTGGGTTTTTGGGCCAGGTGTCCCCAGTCGTTTGCTTTGCTTACTCCCACGCCTTTTGTCCCTCAGTTTTCGGTCTGTTTTTGGCTGTTTCACTGGGGGTTCAGTCTGGGTAAAGTGTTTTGCCCTTCCGTTCTGTGGTGCATTTCCACCAGCAATTGTGGTGGTTTGGGCTCCCCTCGGGTTTGATTCCGGGTTCCTTTGGGCTCTTCGGTTTTGTTTCAGAGGTTTTCTTCCTCTTGAGTCTTCTTTGGGGGTTCTGGAGGCCCCTTGGTTGCCTCCTGTGCACCCTGGACTTCCTCTTCTAGAGTTCCGAGGTTTTTCTGGCGTGCAGACTGCACTTCTTGGATCTTGGTACGTGTTTTGTGGTCGTGCTAGGGCTCCGGTTCTGCTTGTCGGGGTGGGCCTTTGGTGCAGCTTTCGTGTAACAAAAAAAATAAAAATAAAAAAAATGGAATGACAAGAACGGCTGGTGCCTCCTTCGGGACTGTCTTTGGCTTGTCAGTGTGGTGTCCACTCTGCTCTCACGTCGGCTCTTTTCTTTTCTTCATTTTTTCTGAATTTTGTATATATTTTTTCTCTTGGAGGGGGCACCAGTCCCTTTGTGGGTCCCTCCATTGGCGGGCCACTGGGGACGCGGCCGGCTCCGCCCACACTTGGTCCTGCATTTCTTGGGCGGTTTGGGTCGTGTCCTCCAGCCTGTGGTGATGTCCTCCAGCCTGTCCTCCAGCCTGTTGGGTGGCTCCTCCTCCTCGGTGGAGAGGGGGGGGGGGGGTGTCAGAGCTAGAGAGGTGGGCTTCTTCCCCTTCGCTCCGCCGTGTTGTCTTGTTTCTGCCCCACACGGGACTGTACGGATCTTCAGTTCTTTCTGGATGCTTCTGTCCCCCATCTGGCTTCTTTTGGGGGTGGGTTGTTGGGTGGTGTCTCTGGCTCTTAGGGGCACGTGTTGGCTTGTCATGCTTCTCTGGGGTTCAGAGCTTGGTTCATTTTGTTGTAGGGGGGAGGGGGCTTGCTTCTTGTCTTCATTGCCTTTCCTTTGGACGGCTTCTGGCACTGATCTGCTTGTCTGCTCACCAGGGGGTGGGGGTGGGGGGGTTTCGATTTGTTGGGTTCGGGCTCTGGTGCAAGTCCTATCTGGTTTCATCCCTGGTTCGGTCCTGGCTGGGCCTTTGGTGAGACTCGGACCTTTTCCATGTCTCTTCCTCCGGTGGCATTGCTGAGGCTGCGGGGTCCCGCCTTCGGTTGTTTCTGAGGGGGGTCACTGGCAGTTGCTCGAGCAGATGTGTGGGCGTCTGAACTTCGCTGTTCTAGTCTACCCGCTGGGTCGGGTTTGGCTTCGGCATCTGTTGTGGTTCCTTTGGGATGCCCCTTCTGCCTTCCTCACAGTTGCTGGATTCATCCTCCGGGGGCCTTGCATTGCATTGGTTGCTGAGTCACTGGCTTCCTCTTAGGGATTTTCGGGGTTCAGTGCTTTGGCACCAGCCCATGTTCTCGCTCGATGTGTTCACAGACGTGTCGTCTCTCGGCTTTGGCTTTGTGCCCAGTGCTCACCAGGTCGGCCAGAGGCGGTGGGGTCCGTCCTTCCATCGGGTTCACAGTACGGTGTGGGAGTTTGGCTGTCGTTTCGGAAGGTTAGAGTTGCTTGGGATTCGACCATGCGGCTCCATTCGGACTGTTCTCTGATGGCTCATTGCCTGAACTGTGGTGGGTTCTCTTTGATCTTTGCTTCTTGAGGGCTGGTCCCTTCGAGTGGCTCGGCTGCCGGCTTCTTGGGGTTTGGCTCTCTGTGCTGTTCTTATCTGGGAAGAGTCCAGTGTCCTGGCGGATGGCCTATTGCGGTTCATTTCCCTGTCCACAGAATGGATGGTCAATGCCGACTCCTTCAGTTGGCTCTGCCCGACATACGGACTCCCGGATGTGGACATCTTCGCGTCAGCGTGGTCTCGGCGTCTCCCGATCTATGAGGGGCCTAGCCTTGATTTCAGGCGCTGCTTGCTCGGTGTCTGTACACGAATCATTTTCCACGGCTCTGCCTTTTCAAGCAGGTCGTACCGGTCCAGTACATGGCTGGTCCAGTCTTCTCTTCCGCTCTTCGCATCTGGTCTTTTTGATGCATGTTTATCACCACTTGTATGGTGATTAGGTGCCTTCTTTGATGGTGTCTCACCTGAGAGCTTCGTCTCGGCGACAGTATGAAGTTTCCTGGCTATCATTTTGCCCTTTTTTCTCTTAGTAGGTTGTCTTCTATTTCTGATCGGGTTGTCTTGGCTTTTTCAGGACCGTCATGTGATGCCTAATACTGTTGCCTCGAATCGTGTAGTGCTGGCTGAGCCTCTTCACCTTGCGTTCAGGGTGGATGTCATTTCTGCCCTGTTCCGTATGCTTTCTCGTGCTTTGTTTCACCTCTGGTCTGCTCGTGCATCACCTGAGCCATCCTGGTCCTTGGACAGGATACTCTTTGGTTTGTGGTGGCCCCTTCGGTTCCAGATTGTTTTTCCAGGGCTCTGTTTCTGTTGGCATGGGCCTCTGGGGTTCGGGTCAGTGAACTTCATGCTCTCCTCTGGCGCAGCAGTTTCTGCTCCTTCAGCCCAGGCGGTCGGTTTGTTCGGTGGCAGACTTCTTCTTTTCTGGCGAAGAATGAGACAGCTGCTTTGTGGAGGCGTTCCCGAGTCATTGATGCTTGGTTGGTCAGGTCGGGGGTGCATCATGTGCTATGTCCGGTTGCGGCTCTTCGCAGTTATGTGTGCTTCGGCTTCGGTGG